CTCTCTCTCTCTCTCTCTCTCTCTCTCTCTCTCTCTCTCTCTCTCTCTCTCTTTCTCTCTGTCTCTTTATTAATAAATAAGGCGCGCCGCGGCACAACGTCGCTACTGTTGACCTGGCTCTTGATAACGGAAGTTAATTTAACGAGCAGGCGGATTAAGAGGAGGAACGCCGAACTTTCACTGCGCCGGGGATACGGAGAGCAGGATTTTTTGTCGCGGTTTAACGGTGGAACGAAATGCGAGTTACCGCGTAAAACGGACTGAATCGAGTCGCTTGGCTGAATGGGATTGAAGTGATTTATGGCTATGGAACGGTAAATATCGATTTTTTTCTCCAGTGTCCTTTTTGCCGCGTGTTTATCTACACCGTGTGTCGAGCATTGACTCCAAATGTATTTACGCCGCTAAATATTCAATGCATATTTCTTGTGGAACTTTTAATACATTCGAAGAATGCTACGAGAAACTCTTTATATCTTAACGGAAAACACGATAATTGTCTTGATCTATCGAAAAGCGTACAACTGTATTCTCGTGAGAACGACAGTGCAATTTACAGCTCGACGCGTCGCTAATTCGTAAACGGTGCATTTGGCCGCTAAACATCTCTCAGCTCAGTTCCACGAACGTTCCTAAAGATCTCACCGATAAATAAACAAAATCGCGGTATCTAAATCATTAATTATCGAGCCGCGTGTGTATCGACCGCGAAGAAAAATCGCCGGTAATGTGAAAAACGTCGCCGTCGATGTTAATCACATTGAATTTATTTTACGCGCCACTTGCGCCGATGAAAGAGACACAGGTGCACTCGCTCGATACGAGCAGTTTGCATTTTTGCTATTTTCAAAAATGCAAAATCGACAATCATTTCCGGAACGACATCCGGAATTCACACAGGCGCTGACGCGCACCTACGTGAATACGCAACGTCGGTGTGCAAATCACGCGATGAATTCGATTATCGGACGCGCTTGTGCGCAAAAGGTGGCGGCAGGTGCAAAATCCGGAATGCGCGGCATCCAACGGGAAGGGTAATGATTTTTTATAGCGCTCCCTCGTGAGAGACCGCTTTAACGGTTCTCCTCGGACAAGTAAGTGAAGCTGCGCGAATTTTTGCGCTCACGCGACGCGCCCGTCGCACGTGTGGTGGTGCGTCGTCGTCGATGAATGCACACCGGTCGGGGCGAACGTGGGGCACCACAGACTGGCCTGCGCACTTTCATTGTCAACGAGACTTTCGTCGCGTCGTCGTCGGTCGCCCGCCGAGTTTCGCCGGCACGACGGGACGGAACGCGACTCATCTTCCCGTGCGTCCCGATTACCGCCGGCGCGCGGTATCCGTCCTGTCTAATTTTCGCACGAAATCACCGTGATGAAGCCGTCAAATTCCCCTTCCTCTGTACTCAGCGCCATTATTCATACCGCTCGCGCGGTATTGAGGAATTTACGCGGGGCGCACGCGTGTGCGCTTCGGAACGCGGTAAATAGATCTTACAAGATAATCACACGATATCACGAGTGAGAATCATCCTCCTACTGGTAACTCTCGTGGATGTGATGGTAATAAATTATACGTGGAAAAGCCGCATAAACGCGTGACAGCGTATAATTTTTTAATTGCGCGTCATAGGACTTTCGATTCGGTGCGGTACAATTGATGCACGAATCTCGTCGCTTACAAATGACTCAGCGAGTTTGTCGCGAGGCGATCAAACGGATCAACATCAAGTGATTAAATATTCCAAATCGGGGAATTAATTTATTCGCCGTTTTCAAGTCCGAATATAAGTCACATCTCGCTTTCAGAACCCGCGAAGCTCTACATATTTCGACAAGCGCACTCACTGTATACACGTTTGTTCTTTCTCACTGAACTATGTATACTGAACTGGCGAAATTTACAAAGAAATAGGCACACAGTTAAGACCTGGTGGGAAAAAGAAAACTTAGTGCGAGCTAAGTGAAGGGAGTGCAGCGCGAAAGAACAGACTATGTGTTCGCGCGATTAATTCGACTGCGCTAGTTTGAAGAATTTTTTCCACAACGTGATTCTTATTTTTTGCCATTTTTATTTTTTTATACAAACATTCACGGTATTATTAGAAATTATTCCGCAGCGATTCTCTCGCCGTGTCCGTCCTGCTCGTTGAAATTCTTCCTCAAATTCCTCTCCGAGACTGTGCGGGTCTTGGTAGGAAGTTTCTACGTTTACGGCGAATGAGGCGAGTGCTTTCTTCGGATGAAACACGAAACCGCAACTCGGACTCCGCGGGGAGTTCCGTTAACGTTAATCGGTAACTTTCATACGCCGTCATGTGTATCGCGACCTGGCCGGCCCGTCCAACGCGCGACTTTGCGCGCCGCACATAGCTGGAATATATTTATTCGCCGGCCGTGCGGGAAACAGCTCTCGATATAAGTCTGATCTTAGGTGCTGCAATGGCGCGCACAATGCAACCCCGGCGACGGCGGCGGTCCGCAAAAGGATTTATTGCGAACTTTTCAACAGCGCCGACGGTTATAATTTCAGCTCGCATTGCCAAGCATGTAAATTGGCGCGCCGACTAAGTGACTCTCTCTCTCTCTCTCTCTCTACTCGGAAAAGTATTGTTTGCTGGAATTTAGATTTGCATAATGACCAGGCGAATGATGTAGAGACGCGAGCCGGATATACCGGGTGAGCCCGTAGGAATGCGCATCGGCAGAATAAAACGGAATACCGGCCGGTAATACGTCGTGTGCGTGTCTGGTCATTACGACGAACACGTGTGCATCATGGTGATCCTCCTCCCTCCTCCGTCTTCCTCTCGTTTCCCCGTACGGTTATTGTAACGTGGACCGATAAACAACTCATCCTCGTACAAAAAGAGAAAAAGAATCGGCTGCGATAAACTTTTATCGCGTAATCGCGAGCGAACGGGGCTTTTATTGCGCAATGAAGGCTTATCGCTCGGAAATGGCTTCATTAAGCGCGTAAGATCGACGCGATCTCTTTTCGCGTGTCCTACGTTTCGCAAGTATTGCATCGCGAGTGCTATGGTAATGCGCGTTCGCTATTGGTAACGATGAACAGTCCTCGACTCTTAACTGTCCTTTAGAACTGCACCTTCTGAATTGTCATTTTTTTCTCCTTTCATCAAACATCAAAATCGAGGAATTAATATATTTATCGTTTTCAAGTCGAATATACATCACATCTCGCTTCCAGAGACCCGCGGAGCTTTACATGTTTCGACAAGCGCGCTCATTGCATACACGTTCATTCTTTCTCGCTTCTTCCCCTTCGTCAAACGTGTATCATTTGCTTTTGAGTGCAAACAATGCAATTTGATGCAGACAGAACACATCAGTTTTCAGTTGAATCGCGCGATTACATACATATAAGTGTCACATATGTTGTAAATTGAGTTGAATTGAAAAGCTTGGACTTAACTCTGAATAAAGATCCGAGTATCTCACACGAGACAGTTTCAGATGACAACTACACTGTAAAAACTGATGTATTAAATTTAACACATTTCGTGAGTCCCAAATCATCCACTCTCATTTATGTGTAAATTTAACACAAAACAAATGTGTGAAAAAGTAACACGCATAATATGGAAAAAATCAACACAAGAATTTAACACTTAAATATCATTAGGAATCACAGGTTGTGTTAAATTGACATATTTAATATGTCAGACATAGACTATGTCAATTTAACATTTTCATTTCATCAAAACCATAGATTAATATTTTTTTCAAATGTTAAAGTAACGTTTTATTTTAGTTAATTTAACATTATACATATGTCAATTTAACACAAACTGTGATTCCTGATATGATATTCAAGTGTCAAATTCTTGTGTTAATTTTTTACATATTATGTGTGTTACTTTTTAACACATTTGTTCTGTGTTAAATTTGCACATAAATGAGAGTGGATAATTTAGGACACATGTTAAATTTAACACATTAGCTTTTACAGTGTATTAATATGTCTTCCTAGGAGGAACGTCTGAGAAATAGCCGCTCTGTCTGTTCTACACAGCTGTCGACTAATTAATACGAATTAAGATAAAAGTGGCAATGCCCTTTTCTCTCAACATAAAATGTATGTTTTATGTTGACAGTATAAGTATTCAAATACCGAAATATTAAGAATGTTTAGGCATGTATCCACAAAAATTAGCATTCTTACACTACACGTGTACTCAAAGGTGCGCGAGGTGAAAACTCCACGTGGAAGCTTTGGCTTAGCATTAACGACCGGCTGTCTCGTTGCTCTGTTTTAGATCAACAACAGTACGGACATTCTGCCGAACGTGACGCTGCTGATGCGATGGAACGACACGAGGGGAGAGACCGTCGAAGCTACCAGGGCAATGGTCGACATGATCTGTGACGGGGTCGTGGCCTTCTTCGGACCGGAAGGCTCCTGCTACGTCGAGGCCATAGTCGCTCAGTCCCGCAACATACCTATGATCAGTTACGTAAGTGAACCGCAAATTTCGACTATTTCCCGTAGACCTCGTGCTGCTGCGGCTTCGACCGTTCCGCGCTCACTAATTCGCGACTCCGCGACGCGCGTGTATCGTCAATGAACCCGCGTCCGTCTCGTTAATAAACGCGCTATTGTAGTCGCGATTATTAATAGCGCATATCAGCACGATACGCACGGTATCGCGATAGCGGACTACGCGCGAATGCTTTATCTCATCTTACGACGATGCACGTTTTACTTTCAGCTCTCTCGGAAAATGTCGTTAAAATATAAGCACCGTTAACTATTTTTTGTACTATTACGTATTCGAATCCAATCGCTCCAAAAAGTTGTGTTTCTGCCCATAGATGGGGAAAACTCAATTTCTTATAATTGATTGGCTATGTACTTTTTAGAACATGGCGATTCAACTCTTCTTAAGGAGCTTATTCACTTGAATCGAGAAATGCTTAAAATTATTGAGAAATTCAACGTCAAACATTCATAGCTAAAGTTGCTAAAAGGTTTTAAAGCGGCTCAGCCGCTTGGTGGAGACGTTCGTTTGAACTGTCTCGATTGTTACGCTTTTTAATCGTCCGGGATTCCATCGGGTTATGCCTCCTATCTCTCTCCGCTCTCGTCCTCGCTCGCTCGCGCGCGCGCGCGCGCGCACGCAATTACGTCGAGGGGGAAAACCGCGTGGCGTTAACTCGCGAGTTAACGACGTTATTATCGGCCAAGTGAGGAGATCGTCGAGACCTCATAGCGCGTCGTTATCGGGCGGTTTCGTGCGGACTCGTATGGAGAAACCGGCTGAAAACGGTTTCCGCCGGCGTGAGAACGGCGGGGTTGTAGGGCACTGACGGCGAAGTCCAAGCCGTACCGCGGGAGGAGGCGCGGCCGCGAGGAGCGGAGGTGCTTAACGAAAGTGGAGGTGGCGGCGGAGGTGCGCCCGACAAATTGAACACCCGCGGCGTGACAATATAATTACGGGCCGTGCTCTGGGACGTGCGTGCGTGCGTGCGTGCGTGCGTGCGTGCGTGCATGTGCTGCTGGTACGATATGTGTGCGACGTCACGACGAGGCACGCAACGCTGTCTCCAACACGCGCCGATCTCGCCGTTAATTCCACAGGAACATCTGTGAGGACGCGTTTTCTTGTCGAGCTCGGACAAATCCACAGGTCGAATTACGAGCCAGGAAATCCGCGCGCGGAAACGCAGAGAGTATCTCTTCGCGCGCGATTGTGCGCTATTCATGGAATTGCTACGCGTTCTTTCTTTACCTCGTAGGTACTGTGGTTATTATAATGGCTTTCGCGTATATCATCTTTCTGAACGGTACGTGACGGTAGCTCATTCTTATTTCTAATAAATTATAATTTATTCATCTAAAACTGTATTCTAATGTATTTGCATAGTGAAAAGCATTACTAGATACAAATCGCAGTGTTGTATTGTTTTCGCGCAATCCGCGTTGAACTTTGTCGTACAGAGATACAGCGCCGCGGAAAGTCTTGCCGTAGATAAGAGGTTAAGGACGAAATCTGTGGTATCTAGCTATTGTAGCTCGCGAGGAAGCTGCCGGGTTTAATAACTAGAGCTTCGAGTGCCACGAGTCTGTCGCGATTTCATAAGCGGAAAAGGCCGATTTTGACGGATTTGCAGTAACGAATCACACACGTGACGCATCGCGGCGATCACATTTTACCGCGGTGAGTTACGCTTCTGACTAAAGCGAGAGCTACATTGTTTTCCTTAGTATCGGTGTACATTTCGTCGGGAAATTTGACACATGCACAGATGTAAAGTGCAATTTATCTCGACATGTTTCTAGCTTTCTTGATTATTCGCGAGAGAAAATCTTAATGTATATTAATTTACGTTGAGACACCGTCTCTGATCTCTATGAGCGTGTTTTAATCATGAGAGGCAAAGCGGCGTATAGTTGTGACGCTATAAATTAGAATATCTCAACGCGAAATGAGTGTCGAGTTAGAATGTTCCTTGCCGAGCGCACGCGGTGGCCTTCGTGTATATTGAACTTATATAACTTTAATTTGTATATACGGCTGAGAGAGTTTAATCTCTAGACTGCCGGAAACCCCCGTACACGTATGTTTATTCAGAGTGGCAGCTTAATTTTAGGCAGTCGTTTGGAATTTGCGAGATGATTATGATTACGTACATCTCGAAATGCCGCCGGTCCCGACGCGAAAGCACGCAGCGATCCGCGAATTAATTGATACAACCCCCTCCTCTCTCTTGTACGTGATGCACAGTACTCAATTGTCGTCGAAAAAGAATCGATATGTTCCCCGCGAGATAATCATTTTTCGCGCGAAGATTTTCTCACGAAAATTTTCTCACGAAATCTCCTTCTCTTTCGAGACGTAAGTCTCCCGAGTCGGAACGAACGGCTCGAAGCAAATTTGAACAATCCGCCGCGGTATGTATCCTCCTTTCATTTCCGAGTGCCGTTACGCAAATGAGAGATGAGATCATTCCGGCGTAATTGTAACAAACTTACTCCGACGAAATGACCGTCGTCGTTCCTAAGCAATCGACCTGCTCTCGCGGTGTACTCGCGGCTTGCTCGCCTCTAATTTATTCTGCAAAAAAAGGAGAATTCGCGCAAGCGGGAAAGTCGAGAAGCCCCGTGCACGTTGAGCCGCAGAAATTAGCCTCGGATCTTCAGCGATGCGCGTCTACGCTGGTCACAAAGTCACGAATCCGGCTGCTTAACAACATTCCGGCAATGCCAATCGTATGGTCGCCACCACCTGCAGTCTCCGCACACACATCGGCGCACGCATGCACACGCGTTACACGCACGTACACACGGCGCGGCGATTTTACTTTGACGCGCCGCTACTAACAACCTCGCGTTTCCTCTTTCCTTTCTTGTTGCGCGGCGATTAAAGTTATTGGCATGCCTGAGCATGAATCTATGTAAAACAATCTCGCGTTCCGCGCGAGACCTGATCGGTACGAGGTGCGCTTGAGCACGTGCGTTTTGTCAAGCGATTTGCGTTAGCTCGTACATATTGTGCAAATTGAAAGTGTCATTTCAACGTCTGCTGTCAGCAGTCGTTATCTGGCAGATTTATAACATTATTAGATGCAGCTGAAACACGCTCGATAACAAAACATACCTTCGCGACGCGACGTCGTCGGTTCCCAGACGGATGCTCGACGCATCATCAGTCGTAAGAAAAAGAATATTGCTGCGATTGTTAGTTAAAGTTACACGAAAAGAAAAGGTTTGGTTGGATTAAGTTTCTGGTGAAATACAAACGATTCAGATATTACTGCTCGAGCTGTCAGAATTCAGTCGGAGTTATCAAAATTTCTGGTTGAGCAGAATTGAACAGAATTCTGAATTCTGTTATTATGAATTTACAATGGAGCAAATCGGTTTTTTTTTGACTTGATTAATTTTTTCTTCGTTTTATCATATAACTTGATCGACGCTTTCTCAATCAGTCTCACTTCAAACTTAATTGAATTAATTATTTTTTATTGTCACATAAGTTAATCACGTGGCCTAATGTATAGCTCATTAAAACGTACACCTATCCAATATATCGTCGCGTTCCTTACCGCGCGGAATTTTTAATCAACGGACATTAGGAATTTGTTTGATGAGCGCAGCTGCGTATCGGTGGCACGAAGTCAAACGAGCCAAACGACATCTTCCGCGACATTTTATGTTTTCGTGAAAGTCGTCGCGGTGCCAAAGGTCCCTCATGAAATGAACCGTCGAGTCGGTCGCGGAAAAGCCCGTCTGACCCGTAGTTGGGGTTATATATCGTCGTGGAAAGTTTCACGAGATCCGATCTCCGTCGACGAGACAACCTGTCAATATAAATCTTCGCGATTCATCTTCACGAAAAGCTTCACCAACCGATTGGAGATTACGACAACGTAGAAGAAACTCGTCTTCGAAAAAGCAACGCTCAGAGACGCGCATCCATACGGATGCATGGGAAAGTGATAGCTGAACATCCCGGAGACCTCCCGGACTAATTTATGCTAATTCCCGGCGGTAAGGCCAAAAGAAAAACGAGCGTGCGAGAGATCGAGGGGAAAATAAGACAAAAAGTCGAGAGTGCGCCTCGCGTTTGGAAATTAAAGAGCCCAGATTGGGCGGCGAGTCGTAATTGATCCCCGATATTCAAGTAACGCACCGTAACGTGGAAAACGAGTAAGTGAAAGGAACCGTAAAAACATTGTATACCTTGTAAGTGGAACAACTGACCATAGTTATGTAATGATCTAACGCACAAAATTATGTTTTTTTGAGTGTTTTCTCTACCAATGGGCAGTTCGTACGTCTTTCTACCTAAAACAAAAAAAGATTCAAGTCTTATAGGCGGCTAAAATTAACTAGAAAGCAATCTTTATTTTTTAGTAATTGTGCTTTTTTGCCTTTTTTGTCCATTTTTAAAGGTTAAGCTTGTCAATGAATGCCCTTAAAGAGAAGGAAATTCTTGACTCCTTCAACGATTACGAAGAACCTCAGTGCTATCTATGCTTTTTGAATCGTGTACCACATTTGTCATCTTCATTTTTTTTAAATGTACTCCATTTTAATAATCGTTAGTTGGATTATTGTAGATTGGGTCATTCTTGCATAACTACAATTTATCTTATTGAATGGTTCAAAAAAAGGAAGGAAAGACAAATCCTCACATGTATCATTCCTTTTTCGTTTCTCTTTCTTATCCCTACTATTTTCTTATCCCTTTCTACTATTCTACTATTTTCTACTATTTTCTACTACTACTTTCTACTATTTTTTATCCCTTATCCCCGTAAGGAATGATATACATTCACTATCGAGATTTTATATGTTTCAAATTTGTAATATGGAACATTCTAACTCGACGCTCTCATTTCGTATTTGAGATGTTTTAATTTATAACGTCAGAATTCTACACCGTGTTTTGCCTCTCGTGCTTAAAAATATTAGGTGATATTTTAATGACACTAATATACGTATAAAGTTTTTTCTCGCGAGTAATTAATGCCTAGAAACGTATAAGAAATGCACGGATACTTGAACTGATCGCGAGCGAACGATTGCATTCGACGTAACGGATTTTTTCTGTACAACGGTGGAAAAAGAAGATCGGCGATCGAGCGGGCATGCCGGTAGCCCTTCTCTTGGCGCGTGAGGGACAGCATATAAGCATAAGGAGCTACCTGTGTACTTACTTTCACCTAGTTTCACTCGTGGTTCACCGCGGCATTCGCGTTGCGAATTCGTCGGATTCCTTCTTCTCCATCGACTTAAATTTCGTCAAGCGATGCGCCTTTTCGTCGCCGGCGTTTCCGTCCTCAACTTTCGTTATTTCGGCGTTTTGATATCTGCATTCTTATATTTCCGTTTCGAGTTTCCTTCTCATCCACCGTAGATTTTGTCTCAGCAGCAAATTTTTTCTGTTTCTAAAAAAAAATAACGTATGACAATTATCACTTTCCGAAGCTCGTCTTTATTGCTGACACGCGAAACTGCCCCTCTTATTAATTAATTAACGTCCGTAATATCAGTATTTATCAATCATCTTTATCTAGAGAAGTTTAATGATATCTTTTCAAAGCCTTATAAAAAATTTATATAAGATACTTGAAAATTTTTTTATATTCCAACCGTGTGTAGTTAAAAACTTGCTTCAGTCCCATCGACTCGCTGCGTGAAACTTCCAGACGCCAACCGGAGAATCGGTCTTGCCGATTCCATAACGTACACGAAACCCAATGATTACGACTGCCGCATTCAGCGTCCGTCGTCGCTCGCGAAATTACACGTGGACGCGTTTTCCGGATTCGTTGACGTGAGCGTGCCGACGAGGAGGAGGAGGCTGCTTTCGAGCGAGCGAGCGAACGACCCGATTGCGTGGGTCATCTCGCGCTCGTGTCGAGATACCCATCCATTTAGGTACATACCTGTAGGTGGACGGCGAGCCTGAATGCCCACCTATGCGGCAGCGAGGCTCTCGTAATAAGGCGTGCGGGTACCACGAACCGGTGGGAACTTTCGACAGGTAACGCGAGCCACTTATGCGTTACCTGTGTGTGTGAGCGCTTAATGCCACACGCAAGCTCTCGGCCGTCTGACACTGGCGCAACCACCTGTTGATCGCAGCCGCACGAGGTGACGACGCTCTACAAATTGGAGAATTAGCCGTAGCTATGCAAGAATGATCCAATTCGCAAAATTATGATTTTCGGATTTCTATTTTTTTACTAATTGGCCCACACCACTTTCTATATGAAACGATCCAAGCCTCATAGGCGTCTAAAATTAATTAAAAAAACGGTCTTTATCTTTTATCAGTCGCATTATTTTTCATCAGTTGCGTCTTTTTTATCCCTTTTTTAGGGTCAAGCTTGTCAATGAATATATCCTTAAAAAAAGAAAATTCATCATTTGGACGATTGTGAAGAAATTTAGTACTGTCTGTATATGTTTAAATCATGTATCAAATTTTTATCTTCGTTTTTTTCGAGACTAACTGTATTAGATCATTCTTGCATAACTACGGCCAATTGTTCGCACGGCTATCCAATGTCGCCGCCGCCGTATTTCGCGAGCCAATGCCGTCGCGGAACACTTAATTCGTTCATTCGTTTTTTGCACTTGGTCAACAACGACGCAAGTCGCCGCGTCATCGGTGATTATCGGTGGCACTTTGAAAGTCAATCGCAAGTGTAACGCGGCGCGTGTGTTATCCCGCGTCCTTCGATCGCGCTCGAGAACGCGTCTTTCGCGAGGATTTTTGCGCGTTACGATCCGTCGCGATCGGTTCTCAGCGCGAAAGAAGCCGCGTGCTATTCTATCGGCGGTGCATTTGCATGAAAACTGCCGATTCCCCTGACCTTCGCGGTCTATTTATAGCGCGGTCTGTGTGATGCACTCGCGCGGACGCTCACCTGGTGCGGCTGCGTCGCGTCGCGTCGGTGTCAGCCCGTCGTTGTCCCCCGGCCTGACGCGCTCGGTCTTTCTCTCCTGCGCGCACGCGAGAAAGGGAGAGAGAGAGAGGGAGAGAGAGAGAGAGAGAGAGCCGGCAGCGACGTCTTTCGCCACATGGTCGTTTAAGTGATCGTTAAATCTTTTTAATTAGCCACTCTAACTGCCGCTGCCGGAATCGCGAGTGAAACGGCTGTCTTCGGCTGCCGCGACGCCTCTCCGTGTCGGCTTCCGACAGCGAACTTGTACGGCTCGTCACTTCCCTATCCGTTTTTCGCCAACATCTGTTTAAAATTATGCGATATTTATGATCGTGTAACTTCTTCTCGGCCTGAAATTTGGTCCTGATCAGGTTGGTCTCGATTAATTATCTATACGAAAAGAAAAGTTTGGTTGAATCAACTAATTTCTAATAAAATAAATCAAAAAATTTTGGTTGAAGTCACCAGAATTTTGCTCAAATTAAGTAGAAATTTCGTTAACCAGAACATAATTCTGGTAACTTGAATCAGAATTTTTGGTTCGTTCATATCTTACGAGAAGTTTGCTCAGTCTAATCAAACTTCTTTCCCATAAAGTTTGTGTAAAGTGATGGTATTATTATTTTTTTAAGTCCTTGGTATTATTATTATTTTTATGTCTTTATTATTAAGATCTTAATTTTTAATAAATCTTATTAATTAGGTCCTGATTGCTATGTTGCATTGCATAGCTTATCATCGGGGTCATAGCATCATCTTATAGGTATCTAAGATCAACCTAATTGAATCAATTACATGTAAAAAGAAGGTCTGATTGTCATGTCTATTTTTAGATCTACAATAAGTCAGATTTAATTGCATCCAGTATTACGGAATAATTCACAAATTTCACAATACTCTATTTTATTGCAAGAAATGCTGTTTTTTTTGCAGATAAATAAACGCGTGCAACTATTATTTATTCTCGAAGGGCGCAAAGCTCTGAAGCTTCTACTTGCGCGGGTTTCACCGCGATTTCGAGGAAAAAGGAATTGCGCGCTTTTTTCCCCGTCGTGGACGCTAACAGAGCTTCAACTATTTCTGCGTCCGGGAGGTTCGAAGAGACTGCAGGCGCCACTTAAAATCAACCGACACGCTGGCCGCCGCAACATCTGTTCCGGCGCGCGATTGCACCGCGGCGATCGTTAAATCTTCTTAATCGCTCGTTCCATTTAATAATCTCCGGAACGGACGAGCGACGATTCCACGTCGTCCTCGCCGTCGGTTCATTAGCTTCTTGCTCTCGTCCGGATGCCGCGACATTCTAATGCCGCGCGACTTCTAAATCGAAGCCATATTCCATTAGCGGCACGCCGGCGGCGTTGGCAACTTATCACGAATCTCCCTAATTGCGACCGGCCATTAAATAATCTCCACCCCTGACGCGAGAACACCGCGCTCTTTCCGCCGCGTCGATATTTCTTCCCTATCTGCGCGGAACGGCATCCCTTCCTCGAAGGGAGGCGATCTTAGTGCGACGACGTGATAAATTCTGTCTTTGGAAACGCGTATAATGGAGAACGGAAATGGACGAAAAACAATGTCGATGTCTTGTGACGTATTTTTGAGGATCAATTGCAATACGTGAGTAAGTTGAAGTAAGCTCGGTGTAAGTCGGAGAAAAAACTTAAAATAATGTATTTCGCTTACATCCAGTTCTCTTACACCAGAAACGCTTCTCTTAACCCTTTCAGGATGGGAGACATCTTTTGATGCTCTACGGTCTTCATGCATGTATCTCAGAAACCATCGATCCGATATTCACAAAAATTGGTATGTAGGGGTTTTTTGGGGTGCTCTTTCCAAATTTGAAGTAAAAAATGTAAAATTCAAAATAGCGAATCAAATATGGTGATTTTCAAGATGCCAAATTATATGTAAATATGACTCAATTTCCGTGGAACTTCATACTCTTTAAATTTGAATTAGTGAAAATCTTGATTGATTTCCAGTTTCATAATTCAAATTTCACGGAAATTGAGTGATATTTATATTATTTATCCGCCATATTGAATCACAGAATTTTAAAAATCTAAGATTTTTCAGATTCAACGACCCCAAAAACCCATATAATACGTACTTTTCTATAATTATCTCTCCGAACAACCCCCCGTCCTGAAAGAGTTAAAAAGAAGTACCTCCGATGTAAGTCGGAGTCGGAATATAGACCTTAGCGAAACAAATTATTTCATGAATGTTACGAAAGAGAATAGTATTGTCAGAAGAAAAAAAATTTCCTTGTACTGAATGTCAATGCTATTAGTCACAAACATTATCTCACAGATATATAGTCTCTTACACGAAGAGTACTATTTGCTAGCCCAAGACGCGCTGTAATAAGTCATTAATTGTAATGAATCTGGTACAATTGTACCAAAAGCCCGACGATACTGGTTATGAGTACACGGATTCTTATCGAGGAACGTCGCCTATCCGTCGTATACAAGCGGCTTTACACGCTCGAATAATAAAATCGCAGCGAAGCGCACGCGCGCACCAGTGCCGACCGATTTATCCGATTTTTGTCTGAAGGAGCGAGAACTCCGAGCGCGTTCAGCATCCTTCGGCGATATTGAAACGAGTGCTATCTTTAGCAGCCAGGACAGACGAACGAGCGGAGCGTGAGAATACCGGTTTCGCGAGAATCTATACGATTCGTTCGCCGTATTATCACCGTTTAAATATATCGCGCGACATTAAGAGACGCGAAGAAACCGAGCGAGACACAACCGTTCGTGGTTTGTTACTCCAACCAGCGCGTTGCTTGTTACTCGTACAAACGAGAGAGAGGGAGAAAGAGAGAGTGTGTATGTGTGTGTTGATGCGCCGTATGGAAGCGAGAAACGGTGATAAACTGTGCCAGCCATTTAATTGGATCGTACGTTTCGATGGCAGTTCCACGGCATGGCACGGGAAATCGCGCGCCGACGAAAATTGCCGCAATCGGCCAACAATCGGCCACTGTCGGGGCCCAGATGGAAAACCGGTCGCGATTATTACACGAGCGAAGACGAGCGCGCGATAACTGCCCTCGTCGGCGTTTTCTCTTCGTGTCTTCTCCCCGTCTCCTCTCGTCTGCCATTTTGTATTGCGCGTCGCTAGAGATCGCTCTTCACCGGTATCTCGATAATGAGACATCTGCGTGGAAGAGTATCCTATGTATAAATACAAGCTATTTCTTGTCAACCGCGCTTCCTCTTAACGATAAATTCCACGCGACGTCTTGGAAACGCAGCGCACGCCCCGTGATCGATTCCGCGATAAAATTCGTAACCTTGCGGGAAATCGCTCGTCGCGAATTGTCGATTCTCAACGTGGAACATTCGGGACCGACTTTTCCGTAGAGTCGAAACTTGGATTTCTTTTTCTCGAGCTTAAACTCCGCTCAAACACATCATATATAATGTTAAAACAATTCTTGATCCTGAGAAAGAATCTTGAGAAATTCAAACTGCTGTTCGAAAAATCGGTTCTTGGAGATGCTTGAAACTTGAACCAACTCGTTCAAATTAGAAGAGAGGAGGAGAATGAAGTAAAATTAAATGGAACGCAAAACTTCATGTACGCGTTTCTACCGAAGCTTCATTTGCAGAAACTTGAACTTGTCTTTCAGTTTCCCGCGTCGGATAAGTGAAACTACCGCTGTTCGATTATTAAAACAATTCTTTTTTTTTACCTGGTCATCCTTTTTTTGCTGGTATCTGTCATTGACATAAATAACTAAGCGAGAGCTGTGTGCTCGCGGAGAGAATACTAACGGCTGAAATGTTTCAGCGTTTACGTACATGTATCTCTTTCATGTGGAAAATTGATGTATCTCTTTCATGTGGAAAGTTAGGTGACGACCCGAACGCGCTTTGATATGCTTTCGACGATAGTGATCCCGAAAGCGATTTACTATGTCAGCGGTACGGGACGTATTCGCATATACATCGCGATGCACTTCTCTGATAAGTAGGTCAATCCGTTTTTACATAACACTGGATACAGCGATTAGAGGGTGACATGTATCTGTGCTCGTTAAAATAGAGCCGTCACACTTTGCCTGTAATTAATCGTCGAGAGACGCTCGGGATTTTCGAATTACCCGCATCTTATTCTTAAAGACCAGAAAATTGGCTATGCTTAACTTCT